TTTGCAACCATTCTAAACTGCTATTTATTTATTTATTTATATATTTATAAAAGTGTACTTAGATTTTAACTAGACACAAAACCAACACCATATAACACAACTTTCATTTTCTTTAAAGATTCTCTTTAGCAAAAGTATAATTTAAGAATATTTTAACGACCCTAAGATGGAGAATGTAGCTGCAGATTTGGCTTCAAAAAGTTATACATGATATTCGAATAAGTAGACAAGAAAAAAAATATTGCGGAGCTTGCCATCATAACTTTACATTGTGCTACCACCAGGTCATCTTGCAATTAAAATTGTGGATATTGTAATGAAAACAAAAGGGTAAGTCCTCTAAATTGTTGTATATTTAATTAAAGTATTTTCTTGAAGAAAATTATGTTACTTCCTGCGTAAATATTTGCCAAAAAAAAAAAAAAAACCCTGCCTAACATCCTATAAACCAATAACGCTCATTACAAACTATATTTCGTGTAAATTTAGGTAACATACTACTGCTCCGTTTCTTTTTAAATGTTATTTTTTAATCCATTAAAATTAGACAATATTAATGTTTAAATCTAACATTTTGATTAATTATTTCAACCTTCCCACCACTGACCGCTGATTTTTTTTTTAAAAGTCTCTTAAGATTTTTATATGCAAACCAAAAAATGCAATAATTTGTTTTTATAAAATAGTTTTGAAATTTCTTATTATAATAATTTTTATTAATACTATACAATAAATGCGTAGTACTTCTAATTGTAAATGTGTAAATTAATTAAAAATCAAGTAAAAAACAAGGCAATACTTGATAAAAAAAATTACGTTATTTTGAACTTTAAAAATGATAAATAAAGAGGAAAAAAATCTAAGAAAATGACAATTTAAAAAGAAAAAATCAACTGCCCGCATATTTTGATAAGCAAAATGCAATAGAGGAGTAAATACGTTTAACACTACCCAAAATAATAAAATATTAGAAAGTTTCTATTGTTACTCTAACATTTTTTTTTTACTTTACTTTCAAATCAAAATTGTTCAAGTCATTCATTTCAATTCTTAAAATTTTAAAAACTTAGTCCTTAACTACACAAAAATAAATAAACAAATCTTTTAACTTCAAAACTATCCGTTGTCATGTTGCGCGCATACAATAAAAACTAATTTTAATGACATTCAGAAACTGATAGAATAATACTTAAAATCCCAAGAACCAAAATGCCTTTCCAACACCATCTTACACACTAATTAAGTGATTACTACTCTTGAAACATGCATAATTTGTCTACCATTTGGATTGATGGTAAGCTTTTTTTGATTATATTGCAAACAGGCAGCAATATCTGCATGGCTCTTGATCCTCATACGATCAGTGCATTACCATTGATCAAACCATGATCAATAAGACTTGTATGAGCCAAAAATGAGACTAACTTCTGCCTCCGGATAAATGTTTGACTAGCTTAAAATCATTATTGCTACTCTTGTTGTCTGTTAATCACTTGCAAAATTAGTATTGCCATGTTCACACCAAGCACGACGGAATATCAAGTAGAAAGGGTGAAACGGGAATAAAATGTTCACAAAACTCACCAATGCTCACGCGAATTCGACAAACCCGTTTTGCAGGTGACCTAGCTTTACATATGCTACATTGCTACCAAGTACCAACAGATAATGCAATAACAAACTAAAGTACGACTTCCAATCAAAGTTACTTCATCTAAAGAGACAAAATTATTCCGATGTTCTTGTGTACATGCATTTCCTCTGCTAAGAGTGTATGTAGGAACTAAGCTTGTGGTTAAACCAGTGCTAAAAAAAATCTGATATAATTACATACTGGAGAAATAAAGATGGGCAGTTACTCCATTTGACACCATTAGAAGTGGATTCCTACAATCACTAAGCACCATCATCTTCTAGGTTGTTAACCCGTTCGCATTCATCAATCCATTCACTGTATCTGCATAATTGCAACTTTGCTACTTGAGTCCCTTGGTTGTGTGAGAGAGAAAGATACAGAGAGGTCAAGGAGATATATAAAACATAGTGATCAAACTTACATGTCTATTGCCTCTGTTAAAGCTGAAAAGAAAGCAAAAATAAATGATTAGCTAAATCTACAGTGCACATGCTCTCAGCGGATATATAAAAGAGAAATGATACTCTAGAACAAATTTTACAACTAAGAAAGAGAAGTTTGAAATGTAATAAATGATAGGCCGGATAAAGAGACACAAAATGATATTATATAAATTATTGTATGAATTGTTGTGTGTACATGACCATTCTCTATAAAACACTGAATATCTTACTTTCCACATATGCTTAATAATATTAAAGAAAACACCATTTTTTTCAACCAAAATACTAAAGGAGAAAAAATATCTACTTTTGTTTTCTTTTGAAGGCCACAAAGAAGAGATTTATTGCTGATGCTCAGCCAAACAGCCCAAAGTGATCACAATGCGATTAGACTATTGGCTTTAAGAATAATTCAGTTCTTCTTCTTCTTTTTTTTTTTTTTTTTTTTTAAAGCCTGTTTTCTAATGGCATGAAATTGAGACAAAAGGTCTAAAGCCAAATGCACATTACAATAACTTCAAGAAACAAAGTAAAAATTAAAATCCTCATGATAGACAGCTCTCATGGAATCATCATCAGTACCAAGTTGGATCTTCTAAACATCAATATAATATTTTATTTACATGCCATCTTATCTGCTTCCCATTTCTACATCTAGCGTCAGAACTACATACCCTGTGGAATTAATTGCTCCTTTTAAGAATAAAGAAAATGACCACAGCCTATGAAAACAAACCTGTGATGGTAGTGCTAAAGCTCTCTTGACATATCCTGCATGAAGCTTCCCCAATCAAGTTCTTCATATCACTGTCAAAAGAACTCCCAAAATGAGCATCATAATGAATAGTTTTCATCTCTAACATGAAAAATGGAAGTGTTATGCTATGTTGCTGAGTGATTTCAGAGAAAACAGGCCTAAACGTCTGATAGAATCTGGTTTAGAAATGGAAGAAGAAAAAAAAACTTTATTGATCGAGTGTATCTCAACAAAGAATTCCCTGGATATCCAAGAGATCAAGGACTCTCCGTAGTCCCATAACTCAAATCGGTTGGCTCTAATCAGTTGCAGGCCCATTCCACTGATTACTAACATAACTAACTAAGCTATCAATGTTTTTGAATGCATATGCAAAGAAACAAAAAGGGCAACACGTTATATCCCTTCACAAGCAGTTAAAAAATTTCTTACATGCGGCATTCAACACTGGTCCCATGATTGCAGAAAGGGCAGCTAAAGACAGTGTCAAGCTTATCCATTCGTTTCTTTGGAGCAGGCTTTGATTTTGCTTTCCTCTTCCCCATAACTCAACTCCTGAGTTTCAGAATATTCAAGCACACAAAATTTCAGTAAGAAAGTTAAAAACTAAATCTCCTATACTATGCATTTACAATTTACAATCATCATACCAATTTACCCACTACAGCAGTAAATTCAAGTAGGAAACCATTTTCTCATCTTTCTACACAGAATAATTCTAATTGTCATAGAAAATCAAAATTCCAAGCCAAATAATACGAAAAGGGTAAAAGGAAAACACTAATTTTTTTAATCAATTTAAATTAATAGTATATAGACTTTTTTAATTCATAATAGTGTATAGATTTTGAACAATAATTAATAGTATAAGCCTTCTTCTTTTTTTTTTAAAAATTATTTTGAAAAAATATTCAAGGCATAAAAAAAAAAAGAAAAAAAAAACTCTTCACTGATTACACATAATTCTAGAATACACATGATGAACCCAATCACAAATACGCCAAACAATTTAGGAGTCGAAGGTCATCTAGAGGGATAAATTAACCGCACCGAAAAGAGAAAACACGAGAAGCTCTTCCGCTGCACTGAATGCAAAGACAAAACAAAGTTGCGTGTGTTTCCCTCCGAATCATTTAAAAGGAAAAAAAAAAGGGGAATAAAAAGAGAAAAACGGAAACCCTAATAAACGATGAGAAGAAAGGGATGAAATTGCATATACAGTAGAAATCGAAAATGAAGAGCTATAAGAATAACCTATGATGAACCGCAAGCTTGTGACTTACAACTACAAGAGTGAGCAAATTCAAATGAAACGGTGAACAGAGCAAAGGAAGGGTTTTTTATGTTTTGGGACACGTAATGGGGTTGGATGTGGACGTTTGGCAATTGGCATAGATTACGTTAATAAGAGATTATAATTACACTTTTCCCCCCTCACTATATAGTTATATAATATTCTGCTTCAACAAAGTTATATAATATTTTAAACATTATTTTATCTTATTATCGTGTTTTTTTATATAATTAAAATTATAACAAAAATTGATTGGATTTGTATAGTATGTATGTACAGCTTATTATAACTTTGAACTTATCAACTTTTTATAATAAATTATATATAAAAATAAATATAATATTTAAATATATAAACATAATATAATACAACTCTGTAATTATCTTGTAACATCAAGATGAAAGAGAAAAGTATAAATATCTTGTAAGTTCCTAAAATTGGTTAGCCACAAGAATTTGGTTCCAGTTCAAAATAGTCTTTGTTCGAATTTCATCTAGCTATAAAAATTTGATCTAGCCAATTTGATTTGAAACATTCTTTAGGTGAACCTGTCCAAATTTTACTTGTGAATATGTCCAAATTTATTTTATAAAATATTAAAATTTAATTTATAAATAATATATTATAAATAAAAATTAAATTAGATAAGAGGTTAAAAGAGCTCCTAAAAATGTTTTAGTTGAAAACTAACCCCTAAAAATATTTTTGAGTTAAAAGAATTTGATGAATAAAAATTTAGATATGGTAAGAAGTTATAAGAATCCTTACAAATATTTTGGTTGAAGGATAACTCTAATCAATATTTTTAAAACTAGATCAATCGTTAAACCAATTTAGACACTAGTTTAAGAGCCAATGGTTCAACAGTGGTTGAATGGTGATCAAATCAATATTAATAAAATAATAATAATTATTATTATTATCAATACAAAATTGATATTAAATAAGTATAATATTACAATTTTATAACACTAAAATTATAATAAAACATTATTTATAGATTTTTAACATTTAATGTATGTAAAATTCTAAACTATATATAATATAATATTTATGTTTAAATTTTAATAAAATATAATAATGTTTATTAATAATAACAAGTTTACATTTAGAATAAAAAAATTAAACTAATATAATATAAATTATAAAAATAAAGTTAATAAAAATTACAAATTAACATAAATGATTAAATTATATTTATGAAACAAGTATTAGAAATAAGTTATTTTAATTTATAATTTTTATTAAATATTATTTTTATTAAAAATATTTTAAATATTTTAATTTTTAATTTTTTTAACTGGATCGGTTCAAATCAGTTTGATTGATTTTGCTGATTTTGATCATTTCGAGACTGATTCTACCGATTTTTTATTGGTTTGATGCAAAATGGTTCTTTAAGTTAACCAAATCAATTTAGGACTGATTCTTAGTTGAATGAGTCGATTCGTCCAATTTTCAAAACTATGTAAGAAGCTTACTCGTATAAGCATTCACGTTTAATATATATAATATTGGAGTTTATATATAAGGATGGAAGTGGATTTTGCTTCAATTTTTTTATTTTATATTTTTAAATGATTACTATTAAGATAATTTTGTGATAATTATTCTTTTAAATTGTTCAAAATATTTTAATCATAGTATTTAAGGATGTGGGAACAAAATTTATCATATAGTTTTCAAATTTTTATAAAATTTGTAGACTTTATATATTAAGAATTTTTAATTTAACAATTGGATCGTTGAAATTTGAAGTAGAACATAAGTTTTAGACTAAAATAAGTCTACCATGACTTACTCCCAGAGTAAATGGATCCCTTAACATATTATATATATATATACATATATATAT